ATTTAATTAAAATCAAATAAAAATTACCTTAGCGTAACAACTTTAACAGTATTTTAATAATTGCTCAAAATGTAAACCATTCCTCTCCAAGCATATTCTTGCACGTTTTTGAATTTATTCATTTATTCATTTACTATAATTTTTTATAATATTGTCTTGTATTTTGTTCAGCACTGTAGCGTCACTTTTCACTTGTGCAAATGCACTTTCAATTTTTTCGAGGCTTTGGGCCTCCTCCACATACACGCGGCGTTTAATTTCGCCCCACAAAAAAAAGTCACAGGGTGTGAGGTGTGGTGACCTGAGTGGCCATGGAACGGGACCCCCGCGGCCGATCCAGCGATTCCCGTATTCCATATTTAAATAATTCCTCACGTCTATAGCGTAATGTGGCGGTGCACCGTCATGCTGATAATAAAAAGCAGGATGGTTAATGAGGGCTAGCGGTACGTCGTCCATAAAATCAGAGACTATGCTTTGTAGCATATTGAGATAGGTGCCTCCGGTCAGCCGCCCCTCAATAAAATACGGCCCTAGAATTTTATCACCGACAATCCCGGCCCACACATTTGCACTAAAACGCACTTGGTGATAATTGTCTTTTATCATGTGCGGGTTGCGATACGACCACCAATGTTCATTATGTTGGTTGTACAGCCCCACACGTGTGAATAGGGCTTCATCAGTCCATAAAATGACCGCATCGGGGTGTGCGATCAGCCACTCGCAGAAAACTCGACGAGGCAGCGCGTCTGCTTCATGTAGCGTTTGCACTTTTTGTGACGTGACAAAAGTTTTAATTGCCGCCATTTCCGTAACATGCGGTTCCTGAACACATCTAGAGCTTATCCACTCGTGTGACGTTTTTATGAAACTCGCCAGTCGTCTCGTTTCATAAACCCACACTCGTGTTTTAAATGCCTTTCATTATGTAACAGTCACATAAACTACTATTAAATTGCACTTAATAGTGGAAATATTTTTGAGAAAATACAGTGTTGAATTTCTCCTTCGTTGAGTGATTTCAGTTCCATATTATATTTTCTGTCAAATGTAATATTAGTTTTGTTACGGTTCGGGCGGCTAAAGATGCTTCTATTTATTTTCAAACGCTGGAACTCTGCTTCTTTTTTTATGAATGTAGAAATAAGATGAATGTAGGCTTGTGTTGCATTCGAATATTTAAGCGGCGATGTCACGCCTCCAAGGCATTGGTCGTTCTGTGCCTTTCGCCACAAAAAGATATCAAAACTGGGTTTTTAAACCAGACTTTTCGATATAAACTTAGAATTTTCAAATTCATCACATTCTGGACTATATGTTGACAATAGACTGCCAACCATGTTGAATTAAAGATGCAGGTAACAGAGCTGTCATTCTCACAATGTTTTTCCTTTGGGGTGTTGATGTCAGACCAATGTCAGTAGCTTTTTTCCAGGTATTTTTATTGAAATGGTAATCCACCCTGCAACTGTTGCATTTGGGAAAACAATCTTAAATGGGGTACCTATCAGTAGTCCGAAATGATATTTTCCAGAAATAACCTTTGTTCGAAATTTTATAATATCGAAAGTAATTTTGAGAGGAAAATGTTTTTTTTTTTAACCCAACCTAACCTAACCTAATCGTGGCTTTGCGATAAATATTCAACATATCCTGAAAGAACAACTGTTTCGTTATAATTCGGTTTTCGGTGTAATGAAAAAGCGAACAAACGTTAATTGGAAAAAAAATTCTTTCTCAAAATCGCATTTATATTTTCTAATATTTGCACCCACTACATCAAGTATTAATGTGAATAAAGCGTGATAGGTACTTTCATATTTGTTTGGTAATAATGCAAACAAAACAGGTACAATATTTGTGAACTTTTCGCAGCTCTCTGCATCTACATGTACGGTAAATAACTGATAAAAGGGTGGAGGTACTCGTTTAAATGTACCGTCTTCGAAAAAACATTTGTTCTGATCAGCGTACCATTTTAAGATTTGTCGGGTTTTTTGAGAACAAAACAAAATTAAATTATTTTCTTGGTCTAGTTCATATCCAGCAAATAATAAATCGTTCGCTATAATTTGTGAGATTTCAACATCAATTGACTTCAAATATTCTGTACTTTCACATTCAAAAACTTACGTCTAGCTCTGTGTAAAGAGTCCTTAACAGACTTGAAACTTAGCATAGGAAAAAGTTCAGAATCTGTTTCATTACTGTTATTTAATTTTATTGCTTTTTCGAAATTTTCTTTTATTGATTTCATATTTTAGCAAACATTATTCTTTGCCTCGTCAACGACCATATCCCTAATAATTTTATTATGGTCTGCCTTACATAAATGCTGAGCTTCTCGCAATACCACAGTCTTATCTTTATTTATAGTGATCGATGCAAGTGCAGTGCCGTTTATTGCATCTCCAAAGAGAAGTTCCATTTTTGTTATCTGTCACATGACAGTATCTATAACTTCCATATAACACTGCCTGTTTATTTTTGTTACTATTAATGAATAGAAATGGTTTGTGCGTCCATTTTCTTATATAATTCAAATACTATTGCAATAACAACGATTACAAAACGATGACACTTTACAAGCGATCATTAAACGATATACCTAGATTTCAAGTGGTCAGTATCTATTTATCTATTTGTGTCTAAATGTAAAATATATTATAATGCTTTTAAATGGTACACAGGAAGTACCTATAAAGTGAAGTTTGTTCCACTTTGAACTTTATTTTCATTCGTATTTTTTGAACAACAAATTTTTAACTAAACTGTACCGTGTCGTTTTACCATGTGATCTATTTAACGAAATGGTAATTTTCATATCTAGTCGTTTTGCTACCAAGTCATTGTAAGTTGTAGTCTTTCTGCAGAGTCCTTATGCTGATCAGGTCATTTTGAAGATATAGTCATTATGATACCGACCCTTTTTTTTTTAAGTTGATTTTTCAAAAAACAAACAATATAGTTTTTCATTTTCAATTTCTTTTATGATGAAATAAAAAGTGGCAATCATCTCGCTCTAATGAATGTCGAACAGCGTCTCTACCTATCTCACTCTTAAGTGAATGAGTGGCAAGTGTTAAACCATTTAAAAATATTGACCAAGTGGGTTATCTTTTAAAGTAACTTAGAAATATGAAGTGTCAAAGTTAGCGGACATTTTTTTAATAAAACTTTGATTCAAAGAAACTTATTTTTTTTACTAAAGTAACAAACGTTCATTGTTTGATTTGTGTTTGTGATATGGTTGTTTAGGATTACGTTAAAAGACACTGCAATTCTTTAAAATTTGTGATGATAAGTACTTAAAGATGTGGTCAAGAGTGTCGATTTTCAATATTTTCAGAAATATGCTATCACTGTATATTTGAAAGTGAGACATACTTATAGAGTGCGTTATATTCCTAATTCTGAATCCAAAAAATAATAAACTAATGAACTCTACAAATTTTTGTTTTATCTACTACTACTTGTGAACAACATTAGTTATCGAAATCTATGCACACCACTATTATTGCTCCGACTGACGCAGCGGCGACAACAAAGCACATGTCGGCACTGTTTGCAGAGACAGTGCACGCGCGACCTTGACCTAGCGAAGACACGTAAATTATTTGTACTTCCGCTCGTCCGAACACTGCGCCGGTGGCGAACGCGCCACTCGCCTGCAAAATGTATATGTATTCTAACGTCGATTTGACTGAGATGGTGCGACTTTACGCAATAAGTGGTGATAGTGTGAGGCGAGCTATTGAAATGTTCCCATATTGGAGTTTACGCGGAGGAGGTGAATAGTGTCGAAGTTGTTGCATGAGAGGATTATCTCAGCATTTATACTGTGAGACAAAATGTGTTTGTGTTGATCAATTTAAAACAAAATTTACTACGACGTGCTAGAATATGCATTGTGTAAAACGGTGGACATTTTGAACACTTGCTCCGTACCAAGTTAGTGTAAATAACTAAAAAATCAATCATTGTAAATAATTTGATTTCACATTTTTAACTACGTCAAAAACCTCAATTCTTTTTAAATAATAACTTAATTATCTTTTTTAGTACGTAAAACACTTCGATGATAGTTCATAAGTAAAAAATAATTAACATAAGCTAAAACGTAATCATTTCGATAACAGCTTTTTCATCATAACCTAAATGAGTAGGTGAGAGAGAGATGCGAAATCATTGTTATTGTTGCTGTCTCACTTGGCGCTCGCTTGGTAGTATTCCTAATGCACTCGAAATCAAGCGTAAAAGGAATCTATTTATTCCTATGTACGCTCCAAAACAAATTGGTTGATTTATTTTTTGTTCTATCTCATATCCTAATTTTATTTCAGTCTATGTTAAGTTGTAACATGATTTACTATGACATGCATGAATATGTCTCACTTTCAAATACATATACAACCTGTATATGCTATACAATGAATTGATTTGTATTCTCGCCATATTTACAGAGGTTATTCTATATCCGAAACTGAACCCAAATCACTGAAAAAAATTCCAAAATTCTTATTTTTTAGTTAATTGCGGTAAACATCGATTCGCAATCACCTGATCTAACGATCATGCCATTGAAGTGTCGTACTTCATATAATGGGATGTTCTTAGCTAGATAAAGCACTGTGACCATGGTATTTGCTGCATGCCAACTACGCATATAATGACTTTAAAATAACACGATTTTGTAAGACTAAAATAATACAATGGTGAAAGTAAGAATAATATCAGATTGTAATTTGATACGTGATAAAAGTCTTTATCTAAACTATATAGTTAAAACAGTCAAGAGCACATCAAGCTTGACAGTTTGGACAGTTCTTATTGCAAGCGGCATAGAGTTAAATTTAAACGGTTAGTGTCAAGCTTGGCGTGTTCTTGACCCTGTACAAAGCTTCAAAATTCTTCATTATAAGTTGCATATACTTTGCGTTACACTAACTATACAAACTATACCTTGATAAGCTGCTAAGTCTAGTATCATGTTATAGGAAAAAGAAGAAGGAATCAAAACGCAAACGCAAAGAGCAAGAAAGAGAAGAGAAGCGAAAAGCCAAGTTGTCTCGCTCGTCCGCCAACAATGACTACAATCTCCGCGATTTGGAAAACATCAGTGATAAGAAACTGAGAGATGCTATAAGGTAATGCAAGAAACATCTGTTCATTACGCACTGCCAAGTTAGCCAATCTTTTGTATAGGCCCATATTTAGCTATAAAACCTATTAAGTTACACAAAGACCTCCATGTTGTGGAATTTTGAAGAACTTTGGCCTGCAGTGACACAATATGGGCTAGAATAAAATAACACTATTGTATGCACTAACAATATATAGAAATACGTAACACGAAAATATATTGAAGGCAAAGAGAATCTAAAACATTAAAATAAAGCGAACTTAGCTGTACTGTTCGTACATGACAACACGCAAATTTTGTACAAAAGAAAATTACTTCTACTGACAATGCAAACATTGACTTAACATACCTATCCGCTTGCATCCTGTCTTACAAATTGTCCTTAATTTCACAGGAAAGAACTGAAAGGCAAATCCAAGAGAGATCTCAGTTCCGATGGGGAGTATGATAGAAAACACGGTGACAAAAGGTATTTATACGTTTGTCAAGCAGTGTTATGGATTTTTCAGGAACATTTTAAGCCATTAGAAATTTGCGTCGTATAAAAGAGCATGTTTGCATAAACATCCAGAACCCAAAAAGAAGTTACACCTGATCTGCCAACTTTCTAAATTAGACAATTGAATGTACAATGCATCAACCATTTTTTGTAAGCGGTGTAAACCTGCTACGATAAAATTGTGTACAGATTTTTTTTAAGTCTATTTATTTAGGGCTGGATCATTGTTCAAACATGTCAAACATGTAAACAAACAAAAAAATGGAATCCAAACAGATAAATCAAAATATTACCTAACCAACAATAAACACAAAATCTTCTCGTACCTACTTGTTGGCTCAGACAAAATGGATTGAAACCACCCAACATTAAATGTACCAAAACCAACCTGAATAAATAACTGCACCCTGATTGTTCTATCTGAACACACTCCATGAGCAAATAAGTATATCTCTGCATCAGTTTATGTACCATAGTATTTATTTATCTTTTCATTTTCGTAGATGACCATTTGAATTATGAAGTACAGCTGGCTATAAAGAAACATTATGACCGTTCACTGTAGCGATTTCCCGCTTCTAATATGACATCGATTACATTTAATTAAAACTAAATTATGTAACAACAGGATTCTGGACGAAATGCACGGCCTAGAAGAACTAGAATCGAAGTTGAGCGCGTACCACATGATGGTGGAAAAGGAAGTGGGCAAACGAGATGGACGAGGTTCATTGAGCCCCATCGATCAAGCGCCGCCGCCACCGCTCGAGAAACCCAAGTGGAAGATGTCTATGAGCGCTGTTAAAGACGCGTTAGTTACTTTTATGTAGTACAATAATTAAGGGATTAGAAGTGGCGTTCGTGTTGATTTTAGCGCCTAAGTTCGTGTGATAACACGATCCAACGACGGAATGAGACATGGTTATTTAAAATTCCTCAACATGGCTAGGGTCCAAATGTTAATTGGTCAGCCTATTATAAGTGTTTGAAAAAAGATATGCAAATATTATTAATATTAATAGATTTTTGATCGTTATTAAATTAGTTTAAATTTTTCAGAAGGGTAAAGAAGAAGGAGACTCCCGCGCCAAAAGGCTATAAAGAACGCTATGCATTTGAAGACAGCTCTGATGATTCACAAGATCCACCTAAGGTAAATTTACATTGATCAGTTAGTAGTTATTTAATAAAATTGTTAACTATAATTTGTTTAGTATACAGTACGAAATGTACTTTTCTGGAGAATGATGCTATTATGCTACTATACTGGTCGTATGGGATTTGACAGATGTCACACATACGAACACCATTACGATGATGTATAAAATGTATGTACACTACAGCCAACTTCGAGTGGCGATAAGAACGTGTCGGTTCGTCGCGCGATGGCGATGAAGGAACCGCCGCCGCTGCCTTCCGCACCGCCACCAAAGTCGCGCGAGCCCGAGCCACCCGGCACCGAAGTCGCACATGCAGTTCGTATAGCATTATAACATTTTTATCTTCGTCCTGAAAAATTACATACAAATCACATACGAGGTATTCACTCTAAGACGACGTTATGTCTAACTGAGGCCACGGAAAATTCTAGCCGAAAAGACGCGACAGAATTACGTGCGCGCATATTATTTAAGCAGTCGTGACAAAAGAGAAAATGTACTAAAAATAGAGTGCCCAGAAATATTGTTTACAATTGCACGCGCGTTGTATGAGCCGCGTTGTTTTCTGTAGATTGATCCCTAGTCTACTATTGTACATATAAGCACATCTCACCATGCCTCTCTTTAGGACAATAGCAATAGCCTACGTATTTTATCTTGCTACGATCATGGCCTGCTTCCATGTCCTTCATTAGCATATATAATTTTATAAACATATACATATATCATTGATACTAAGCATATACAAATAAACTACAACAACACTGTCCATATCAGGTGCGCAAAGGCAATATAGTTCTCGACAAGTTTGGATCTTTCCGACTGGCACAAGAAGGCGAGACTCCCGTATCCGTCGGCGATGGGCGTCCAGAACAGTTCGTGACACGCATCAAACCACCAAGCCCGTCCGGCCGAAGGCCGCGCTCGCCGCCGTCGCCGAGACGCAGGTCCTCCAATTCTTCTGATGATAGACGTTCGCCGAAACGGTCAAGGAGCAGGTTAGTTGTGTAAGAGATTTAATAAAACAATAACAAAACATATGCGCACAATACACAAGTACTTGTATACAAACATTACACATATAAATGCACATAAAAGACTAAAACACAGTAACACGAGATAAAAGTAATTAAGTAATTATGTTGTAAACTCACGGCAATTTATATGACGTAACTCCTCACAAAGGTATGTTAACATAGTTCAAAGGTATGTTAACATAGTTAGTATTATAGTATTTGAACTCAACCACCATCACCGCTTTAATCTCTACTTCTCATTCGAATTGCACTCGTTTCTCATAAGGGTGGTACTTCGGATGTTGTTGCTATGATTTGTTCGGTAGGTCACGACCTCGCAAGTACCGTTCGCGTTCCGGGTCCCGATCACGATCTGCTTCGAGCGCCAGCGGTTCTGTGGCCTCGCGTCGTCGGCGGTCCGCCTCGCCGCGCTCCCGTTCGCGCTCTGATGCCAGTCGATCGTACTACTCGCGTAGTCGATCACGCTCGCGGTCTGGATCCAGGGAAAGGCAAGTACAAATTTTTTATGATACTACTCATTTCTATTTGGAGCAAGAAAGACATGTTAATATGTAATATATTGTATGTTTATGATACGTGTGGTATCCGAGTTACATTTTATTCCCGTTAAGTAGGTTCCGCCGCTTCAACCGGCGTGGCAACTGGCGCGGCCGTGGAGGCTATGAACGTGGCACTTACTACCGGCCGCGTTTCCACACGTACAACGGCGGCGGCCGGGGACGAGGTCGTGGCGGCGGCGGAGATTTCCGTAGGGATGACGGACGCAGATTCCAGGGCGAATGGAGGGACAACAGGTCGAGAGGTGGACGACCTTTCAGACCGAGGAGAGGCGGGGGTGGTCGCGGTAGACCATTCAGGTAGGTGTAGATATAGCACTAAGTCCTGATGTAATCCTCGAAGTATAGTGACTGGATCTAAGATATTTATGATATTTCAGAGGTGGCTTCCGTGATTTCCGCGACAGACGTGGCCGGTACTCCAGGTCACGCAGTCCTGAAAGAACGCGCAGGTCCAGATCTTTCAGCCCAGAAAGGCGCGAAAAGGACAGAGACAGGTTAGGAACATAATAGGATTCTTCTCAATTCCACTGTAGTTAGTACACAAATACACAAAAAATACAGAATTATATTCAATCAGTTAAATTGTTCTTTGTACTTAGTTTCTCTTTGTTCTGTTTTGTATTATAGGATTAGGTTCTCCACATTACATTGCTTTGCAATGTTATACAAAATCTTGTGTTTCAGCTACTCCCGTTACTCTGAAAGGGACAGCCATCGCAGTGAAGGTGAGTATGAGGAAGAAAGATTCGTGGATAGAAAGGAATATGACGGAAAGTGGGCAGACGGGAATGAGCCGGAACAAAATAACGTCGAGGAAAAACCCGCCCCGCAAGAGCAAGCGCCTAAAGAGTAGAATTAAAAGTAATTCTTGTCGTAATTTAGGTTAGTTTCATAGTTTATGGTTAAGGTGCTGAATACGGTCTCTAATACCAGATTGCAATGCGGCATAGTGATTCCGTGCAAATCCACTATAGATATGGTATTGGAATTGCATACACTGTGTTTGATGTATTGGAGCATGAATTGTTTGATGCGCGTAAATAATTAAATCGGTATTATTTAACCAATTATGTGCACAAATATTTTATTCTTCACTTGTGTGACCTATACAGCTGTAATGTACTCGCATCATTCATGTTTTCGTAATGTACTCACACGTAGGTATCTACATAGTAATTTCATTAGGTGTAAATATAGGTGTGCCAGCCACAAGATGTGCTACTTTTTTCACTACATATGGTTGTGGTGTACGAATGTAACTCTCATTATTACATCAGTAATCGCGTAGTAAGCAAATTAGGTCTCGAAAAAGCAATAACCTAAGTTTTATGTTAGCATTTATAATAAAATTAGACAACCATTCCATAAACTCCAAATTAATACCAACATAAGTCACTAATTATATTTGTTCCTGTATTTTGTTAGGTGGTTGAATTTTAATAAATAATTGATTATTTTAAACCATAAACATGTTTTATTAGTAGTTATTTATACATCACCTGCCCTGTAATACTCGGTAAGTAGCTAATGACGTATGACAACTTTACTGTAAGTTGGATTATGGTCCAAAATCCATATGTCGCACGATAGATGTTTTTGTCGACTACCGTCAATGAGACGTCTCAGGGTCAGCAGCCTCCCTGGAAGACACGCCTGCGTGTGTCTGCTCTGTAGCCACGCCACCCTATTAGATATTATCCATTGTAATACATGTACCATGTATTTTTTCTGAGTGAACTACTATTACTGTAAAAGAAAAAAAGTTATGTTGCGTTACTACGGAGAATTCATTGTAGTCACGCACTATTAAGAGATTGAGTCATTTTCGTATCATAAATCCATTGACCTACTAACAAAGTTAATTCATAAATCCATAACTTCAAAGTTTTGAAAGAGAATTCCATGATTTTTTTTTTTGGATCTTGAATTATACATTTTGTAGATATTAACATATTTTTAATAACTTAACTTCTTTTTCTTCTTGTTTTTAATAACTTATTAAAAAAGAGATCAAAAGCAATTAATTACAAAGGTCAACCAGTACTATCTCAATTTTCTAAAGATTTCACTTTTTAATACCATTTCATACTTCGCAGCGTTGCAAGAAATTCCATTGTTTTTAATAAATAACTGTGTAATAAAAATATTTAAAAATTAGTATTATTATTTAAGAAATCAGTCCCCATAGCATAATAGTCGCGACCCGCGCGACAATCTTGAAATAAGCGCGCGCTATTTGCTATCTAAATTTGATCTGATTGGGACCGCGAGTAGGGCGCGTTTATTTCAATTTTATCGCGCGTGTCGCGATTATCATGCGTAGCTATGCTACGGGGCAGATGCTATATAAATGACGTAAACAAGTTTTTTCTTCACCTGTAAAGTTGTCAAAATTGAGATAGTACCGGTTGCCAGTTCGCAGCCGATATTACAAAATTGAAGACTATGTGTTAGAGAGAGACGACATAGGTCTAGATTCTGCACAAATTTGATTCAAAGTGTACACAGTACCATATAAGTTTATTTGAAAAGTGCAATCCCTAGAGCTCTTTCTTCTCAGGGAAAGCAGCATAGTGAACAAGCAGTAGCTTATAAAATGACATTCTCAAGCATTGACTTACAAATAAATGGACGACGGGTCTAATACAAAAACCCCGAAAAAAATGTCCCAAGTCAACCTATTCGAAATTTAAATTGTAATGTCATCGCAGTATCACGCTGTCAGTAGAACAAATGAAGACTAAAGCGGAGTTTGGCGCTCTGTATACGATTTTAGCGCCTTACAAGTGCGGACACTTTTTAGCGCGGACCCGACGTCCATATAATTGTAAGTCAATGTTCTCAAGTGTAATTTATTTTACCTATGGAATAAATGATTCTTTGACTTTGAAAAGCTATAAAAAATATATGACCAAAAAGAATAAAAATTTATATGAACTAACAGCAATCTTTAAAGAAAATAAACTATGTTTACTTACAATTAATAAAAATCTTAAAGTAATTGCAATTAAACAATATAATTAAATGAGAAGCTTAAAGTATTTTAAAATTCACTTAAAAGCTCCAAAGCTTCATCTAGAAGCTCTATAGATTTCTTATTATAAGGTTTTCTAAGACTAGTTATGTAAGGTCCGAAGTGTACAAAAGTGTATTTATTTATTTATTCATTCGTTCATTAATTCATTCATCCGTCCATTCATTCATATTTATTTCTTTAGTCGTGGAAAACCAACAGCTTTACAACAAATTAAAAAAACATCAAATACATTACAACCAATTAAAGATTTTCGCTTATATAGTAACACAATGACTAATAACAACGAGCACTTAGTAAGTGGTAACAGAAAATAAAATTAACTTAAAATACAAATATAATATGTAGAATATAATATATGCGTGTGAAAAGGTTTGCGATGGTTCGATGATTTTATCATAGTTATATATAAATTATATATGTGAACAATAATACGGTGAGAAATCCTACATATGTTATCTAATAAAAATTACTCTTCGTTAGCGTAGTAAGAACAAAATGTACTAATTTCATGTTTTAATAGATTAACACGTTACGCAAGGACAACGCAAGTTTTTTTTTCTTATATAAATTTGTTACTACGAAACAACACTATTAATATTAGCATCGGCAAATTTCGGCAACAGCTCTAATTGAATATTAAAGATAAACAAAATTAGCATATCACATAGCTGATGGGTATTATATACATGTACTTCAGAAAAAAGTACATATTTTCAGCTTTCCAAAATGGTATAACACTTGTATTATTACTATAACTTACTTGTATTATTAACTGCCTCCGTAGCCGAACGGATACCATGCCGGACTTCCACGCAGAGGTCCCAGGTTCGATTCCCGGGCCGGGAGAAATAGTTGTATGGCCTACAATTATTTCTCTCGTGAGTTTGGGTGTAATTTGTGGTTGTCTATGTGTGTGTCCATGGCACCCGCGACACAGGGTTTCCCTAGTGCGGGGCTATGTTGAGTGTGTGCGTTATTATTGCTATGTTACTATAAATTTTATTCATGATGAAAAAAATCACAAATTTAAAATTATTTTAAACATTTTTTCATTTCGCATATTTGGCTGCTCTATGCCATGAAATAGTAACAGACAGAAGTTTAAATGATGCATATTTGTATAAATTGATTTCTTAGCTTTAATTTGAGTTTTAATACATGTTTCATGTATGTATCTCCGCAGACTTTTGGGAAAACCACCCGGAACAAATCGACAAGTCCCGTGTTGCGGAAATATCGCGATATGTTTAATTCTAAACTTATCTAATTGTTAAAAATATTTTTTTTATGTTTTTATTAATTTAACATCGCGTTGCATCTTATTTCATCCCTGTCCCGGGAATATGTACGGTTAATACCGCACATTAAGTATGTTACCGCGTCGGCATTTTTATGTTTAGTTATAATTTCTACACATTTGCAATCAAGGTATTGTCATAAGCAAGCGCGTATTCTATTTCATAATCAAGTAAACGAAATAAATGCCATTATTAAGATGAACAAGGATTCTTTATTTATCAATATCATTATCAAGATAGTTTGTGTAGCAAGAGCAAGACACGAACGCATGCCATTTATGGCATGGTTCTCTTAGGCGGTTCCCCATAGTGCCACGCCACGTGTGCAATTTCAACTCTTCTAAATTTAGCCAATGTACAAATGCTGTGTATTGTGTACACATAAAAATAATAGGCAAAATGTTAAGTTAATTCTGCTACATTTTAATAAAATTGTCAAATTTTATAATAATAAAACGCCTTCACGTTCATGTTACAAAATATTGCATTTTTGCTGATACATTATTGACATGTGATAAACACAAAATGGACTCACAACATCGAGCATATAGCCAGAAACTCAGTCAATTTGACAAATGAAATTTGGCAGAATTAACTAATTACATTTCGCATTACCATGGGTAATAATAATAACATAATATTAAAAAATAGGGTGACGTGGGTACAGAGCAAGACCCAATAAAATACGCCGTGTCCATGGACTCTGTTTTTTTTTTGAGGATAGAACAGATCCAAAAGATATTTACAAGATAAAATTTTGGGGCTGATAAACACAAGCATCCATCACACATTTTTTCTATTAAATTCCGTACGCGTTCTGATAGCTTTATTCTGTCAAGATAAAGCGCTCCATGCCTCGCTGACACGCCCCGAGTGAGTGAACTTATGATGATTTGTCAAAGGCCAAGTAAGGACGGGGAAAATGCGCAAATGCGCACGTCTGAGTTTGCTTTTGAAGGATAGCTAATTTTCCCGCTTTTAGCGGTAATTTTCCCTTCATCAGGTCTTTTATTGACCAACAGCTTCTCTAGGAATTTCCTGTGAACCATTTTTATTTGTTTTGCTTGTTGGAAAAGTACTATTTGGCCAAGATAAAGACGCTCCTGGCCGTACTCAACCCCCATACCTTCTACCCTCACATGCTTACTCTGTGTTGCGTGCTGTTACCTTTTTTTTTTTATTTTTTATACAAGCGTTATTAAGTTGGTTGATCATAATATAATTAATATGAGACTAAGCGTTGTATTCCAGAGTTCTGGAATACGATCCTAAGGGTCAAATTCCAGAACTCTACTCAATGCTCAACTCAGGACTTGAGTATGATTTAAAGCAATAGAAATCATACTCAAGTCCTTGCCATTAGGGTCGTATATCTAGTGCATGAAATCGTACTCAAGTCCTGACTTGAGCATTGCATAGAGTTCTGGAATACGACCCTAAGGGCGCGTTCCCACTATGTCGTCACGTTTTATTATCGTTAGACGACTATCGTGTCTAGCCTGTTCCCATATCACGACTATCTGTCGAGGACGATTTTTTTATCGTGGAACGACTGTCGTGACTAGCTGTTCCCACTAAGTCGTGACGACAATTTATCGTTTCACGACAGCCTCCTTGCCCATCAAAGGGAGTAGCGGGCGCGGGGTACGAGAGGGGAGGGGAGGGCAGGGAGCAGAATACATGCGGACAGCGATAAATAAAACGTGACGACAATAGGAGCTGCGACAATCTGTCGTTACGTTTTTATCGTGACGTTTTTTTATCGTCTGACGACTGTCGTTCTAGCTGTTCCCACTGTGACGACAGTTTGTCGTAACGATAAAAAATCGTGAACGACAGTTAATCGTGTCGTGCTAATGTGAAGAACTTCATTTAAATATACAAGCCACGACACTGTAAACTGACGACAATCTGTCGTCACGACATAGTGGGAACGCGCCCTCAGTCTCAGTTATTTTTTTATTAGCAAATGTGATTTATATCATTTTTCATGGTTTGATCGATGCTGAATCTTATTTTTAAAAAAGGCTGTATGTTCGTATCTATCACTTTTATTTCTTCATGACTCACTTGGAACGTAATGGATAAGCAGTGTCCATTTAAAAAAATCTTTGTATATAGGACTTAGAATAACAACGCATAGAATGATAAGTTTCATATCAAACGAACTGTCACAAGTGAGGCAAAAATCAAATTCATGTAGGCCAGTTTTAGTAGTAGGTTAATTTTCGGTTTTAGTGAATATTTATATAAAAATACAAGTTGAAACGCGTTACTTCCTTGTGGAATGTGATGTTAGTATCTATTTTATGTTTGTCTGACGTATTTTTACACTCATTTACCGCACATTTCGTCATTTTTAGCTAAAATTCTGGAGCTGTTCGCGGTGCAAGTTGACTTTGAGCACTGAAGGCCCGCCCGCTCGTGTAGGCCCTTTGGGAGCGCTTCAATTTGCCTCACTTAGCGTGTGCGGACTAGGTTTCTATGCGTTATTATTCTAAGACATAGGATATTTCGTTGTCTAGAAGTTAGGAACGTTAATGATTTCATTTTCAATAATATCACGTACGTTCGGTATTTTTACCGAATACGAAGAACCACGGGCAAAAAACATTACCCTTGGTACTCCCAGTAGAACTACACAGTGAGACCACGGGTAAAGAACAAATTTATTGTTCTATAAAGTTGCCAAATACCGAACATGAAACGAATAATCGGCCGTCCCTATCATGTTAATAGAAAAATAAGTGATAGATGTGTTTATCAGCTCCAAAATGATGTTGTGTCTTTTTGATCTGTTCTATCCTCAAAAAAATAGAGCCCATGGACACGGGGTATTTTATACGCGCCGATGAAGATGCGCGTTTACGGCGCCGTAAACGCGCGACGCGCGTGTATACGCGATGCAGACGCGCTGTAATGAATCGATTCAAACGCGCGCAAACTTCGCATTGCAAGCAAGAAGTTTATACACTCCACCGGAGTTTATACTTAGAACTTTATGTAGTTGCTTAATTTCAAAAACTAACTGAAAATAACAATTAAAACTAAATTTAAAACTATCTCATCAAAATACGCGACACATATGCGCAACGACAGCGCGTATACGCGCAGATGACGCGCGTTTACGGCCTTATAAAATACGCCGTATGCATAGGCTCTTTCAAAACTTTGGATGCAACCAGATTTAGTATGGACGCTATGGTTGTCGAGGTGAACATAGGTGCCGCCGGAAAAGGTAGTCCCGTTATTGACAACCTCGAGCTTTAAAACGACAGACCGATTCTACTTTTTGGCGAGTAGATACGCGGTCCGACGATCGTACTTCCCCCAAGCGCCAAGTAGTAAAATTCTCAAAACACGAATTGTGGTGATCCTGGAGTTCTCTTCTCAAATGTCCAATTTTGAAATAATATATTCTATTTGCACATAGGAAAGGTGGGATACATCCAAAATAAGTGGTCTAGTAATATAAAATCGAGTTCCCAAACAGTAATTTATTTACTATTACTTATTTGTTCCATTAATGTGGAATTATGTTTATACTACACCTGTTCGGAAAGTGGCTTATTACTCTTCTAAATATGAGTCAGAAAATACGTCATTTCTGTCGCCTCCAGAATAAAAAAAAGTTCCTAAGAACCAATTGCCTGAGAAATCTAGAAATAAATACAAGACATGAACTTTTTACATGGAAAAGCGAGAAAAATGGGCCTTCTTTTTCGAAAATGTTTTGTTGTTTTATTTTAGTGAAAAAGCGCAAAAATATAAGCCAAGTACTTGTGCTATTTGTATTCTATCTCAAAAAGTACTATTCCACATAGGCGTAGTATAAAGCATTATGTATCACTTGGAAGAAAGTGCGATTCCCAACTAGTGTAGTAGTGTATATAAGACTAAGCGTCGTATTCTAGAACTCTATTCAATGCTCAAGTCAGGATTGCACTGGATACACAAGCACTGGAAATACGACCTGGCAGGGACTTGAGTAAGATTTCGAGTGCTTTAAACCGTACTCAAATTCTGACTTGAGCATTGAGTAGAGTTCTAGAATACGACCCTTAATGCTCAAGTCAGGATTTGAGCAGACTTGAGTATGATTTGAAGCACTGGAAATACGACCCTAATGGCAAGGACTTGAGTATGATTTTCATTGCTCACTGCAATACTCATGTCCTTACTTGAGTATTGAGTAGCGTTCTGGAATACGACCCTTAGTCTCGCTTATTTTTTATGACCCTTCGGCGCATTGGTAATCGGCCACTTTCTCCCTTTGGTGAACAATATACTATGTACGCTTCTTTTTCTTATTCTTATTTTTCTTAGACTTGTCTGCGTTCCAATACCACAATAGCTGTGCCATCAAGGCACCGTTAGCAATAGTTGATACAATGTATGTCACTATTATAATGTTGTCTCCAGTCTCCTGGATTGAAGTGAATATTCTCGCGACACTTCCTCCAAATATGAGAAGCACTGTAATAGCTGAAAGCTGGCCTGTGCTCCCATTCCTGTAGTTTGTTATCACCTGAATTGACTAAAACAAAAATTCACCACATATAATTAAAATTATTATTATGATGAAACCTAGTCTCATGTTGATAAAATAGCTTTATCTAATCAATGTAGGTAACCCAACGCAATTAGTAATTCTTTGATAAAATTCAATGTTTAATACATTATAACATTATATAACCTCACCTTAGCAGCCACAATAATAGGCACATTGATAGCTTGCATAGTCCACAGTACTTTAGTGGGTGTTTGCCCACTTATTAAGACAGCTACTATAGCTGAATACACTGCTAGAAAAGAAACTGCTTTGCCAGTAGCTCCCCCATAATGCAAGACTAGGGCAGCAATGATTGCTGTTTGAATTGCTAGAAATGTGCCTTCTCCCCATGCACTGAAAAGATGAGTACATAAATTAGTAAAAGACTTATATTTTGCTGTTTTTAGGAGAATAACGTAAATTATGTCATGACAAGATGTAGCTAATGAAAAAATCTTTATAGCACTTTAGACAATGTTCAAGTTATCTAGATCAAGGTAGGTTAGTTTTTTTTTTTAAAAAAAAGGTGGGTATGTGTATTGTAAAAAGGACATTGTTTCATACTATAGAACAATAAATACAGTAGAAGTGCTTAGTGCGCGTGACATGTGCGCCAACAGTACGCGGAGTTATAGGTACATACTTGAGCTCAGTCCGCCATTTTTGAGAAATTTTGTAGAAAAACGCTTTATTTTGCTACTTTGGAGTTGAAAAATGATTTTCGCACTTGTAATATTATCCATGGCGGCGTTTCATATCATCAAGCCTTATTTTATATAATTTTAATAAATTCTCAATTTTATGTTTATCGTAATATTTTATTTGTTATAAGAAACGAAAGTATACCTTATACCTATGACTGTTATATTATTAGGTTGCTTCTTTTTTGAAAAATTAAGTAAACATCTCTAATTCGCCGTTCGTTCAGCTATTGACTTCTAGATGGCTGCGTATTGATTGAATTTTAATATAAAATCGAAACGTCACTCGTAACTTACAATAATACTTTCAACGATATTTCAACGGTAAAGTTGGAAATTATATTAACAGTCCAGAATTTGTTACTTATTTAAACTAAAAACTA